CATCCAAAATATATGGAGCTCACACACCTCAACAAACAAAAAGCGAACAATCCAATTAAAAAATGGGTAGAGGAGCAGTTCTCCAAAGAAGAAATTCAGATGGCCAACAGACACATGAAAAGATGCTCCACATCCCTAGTCATCAGAGAAATGCAAATTAAAATCACAATGAGATATCACCTCACACCAGTATGGATGGCCACCGTCTAACAGACAAACAACAACAAATGTTGGAGAGGTTGTGGAGAAAGGGGAACCCTCCTACACTACTGGTGGGAATGTAAATTAGTTCAACCATTGTGGAAAGCAGTATGGAGGTTCCTCAAAAAGCTCAAAATAGAAATACCATTTGACCCAGGAATTCCACTTCTAGGAATTTACCCTAAGAACACAGCAGCCCAGTTTGAAAAAGACAGATGCACCCCTATGTTTATCACAGCAGTATTTACAATAACCAAGAAATGGAAGCACCCTAAGTGTCCATCAGTAGATGAATGGATAAAGAAGAGGTGGTACATATACACAATGGAATATTATTCAGCCATAAGAAGAAAACAAATCCTGCCATTTGCAACAACATGGATGGAACTAGAGGGTATTATGCTCAGTGAAATAAGCCAGGCGGAGAAAGACAAGTACCAAATGATTTCACTCATATGTGGAGTATAAGAACAAAGAAAAAACTGAAGGAACAAAACAGCAGCAGAATCACAGAACCCACGAATGGACTAACAGTTACCAAAGGAAAAGGGACTGGGAAGGATGGGTGGGAAGGGAGGGATAAGGGTACGGAAAAAGAAAGGGGGCATTATTATTAGCATGGATAATGTGGGGGGAGACATGGGGAGGGCTGTACAACACAGAGAAGACAAGTAGTGATTCTACAGCATCTTACTACGCTGATGGACAGTGACTGTAATGGGGGTTGTGGGGGAACTTGGTGAAGGGGGGAACCTAGTAAACATAGTGTTCCTCATGTAATTGTAGATTAATGATACCAAAATAAAAATAATAATAATAAATAATTTAAAAAAAGAGTAGGATGTATGCTTCTGGTAAAGGAGGGTATGAAGAATGAAAATGCATATTTGTTGAGGGAAAAGAAAGTAATTTCATCCTAAGATGAGGGTTATTGAAAGAGGGAAAACACAGGATGAAACCTAAATGTAAACAGAAAGTTATAGAAAGTTTATGGAAAAGGAATCTTTGGAAAGGAAATTTATATGTGATCAGGGCTGGCTAAGATTGGAATCAATTTAAGTAAGCAAATGAGTTTTAATACCATATGTACATTGGTGCAAAATTAGAATTCTTTTTCTTTCTCTCTGTTAAAAGGACAAATTTTTCTTATTATTGGTCTGCTCTTAAGAAACTGTAAATAAAGTTTTTTAAAAAATCTTTAGGTAACCTGCCTAGAAAACAAAGATTCTATGTTTTAGATTTATCAGGTCTTTTGTACTTAAAATTGAATCTTTTCTACGGAAAGAGTTAAGGTTTCTGTAATTCTATAACTCTGCATTTGCTTTCCAAGTCTTTGTCACAATGGTTGAATGGATAACTGAGTATTGTTTTACAATGGCTTATTATCCTATGGAACCAAGTGATTTAAAACCTTTTAATATTCTCAACAAGCTTCCCCAAATCAAGTTATCATTTGTAATTCCAGTGATTATTTTAAAATATTATGTATCACAAAGATAACTGAATTCTTATTGATTTAATTACAGTGAATTCTCATTTGATATTTAATGATGGACAATAAAATCAATAAAGATTGTGGCACATATGGATAAAGTCTATTCTGCTTCTATAAAAAGTGGTCCCTCATTACCATATTTTTGCCATCCTGATGTCATTATAACATGGCAATAGTCTACTCCTGAGTCAGAAAAATTAAAATGGGTAAACAATGGTTATAAATTAAATAGCCAGGGCTATGGCAAACTCAGACAGCTGTTTGGTTCTTCCCACCTTCCAGAAAACTCCATTTTTGGTGTTTGCATTCCTTCACCCACCTTAGGGCATTTAAGAAAAGCTATTTTGGTTGGTAGAGGCCTTAGACTTCCTTTCTTTGGACTTTTTGAACACCTGCAGCTGGACTGCACTGAACTGCCACTCATTATGAGTTATCAAAATGTTGTTATTTTAAGATGTTTCCCATTTGGGGAATACTTTCCACAATCTTCAGTGATCAAGGCACCCATTTCTCTGGACAAATTCTATAAGCCTTAATGAAAACCTTACAAACTTCTTTAAATTATCAGTGTCAATCATCAGGCAAGATCAACAAAACTAGTGAAAAAACTGGACTCAAGCAGAACAAGTATTAATTACATAGGCCTGAATGAACTGATAAATATGATTATCATTTTTTTTACTTTTTGAAGTAGTATTGGTTTCTAATCTTTTGTTTTTCCAATTTAAGAAAATCTTTTCTTTTAAGCTGTCCAGCATTTGGTAAGATACCTTTGTAAACAATTTGAAACGTTTATCTTTTTCTCCCTACCTGATCCCTCCAGAATTGGGAAACTCTCGGTGAGAATTCTTATATTTTCATGCAAATATATCTATTTGCATAAGTTCTATAAGAATCTGTTCTCCTTGTAACAGCACACAGTCGGAAACATTGGTTATATTACTAAGCTTTGACTGGAATGTCATATCTGAGAGAGAGATGCATAGACTCAGATATGACCAGACAGTTTAAGAAACTGAGGTTGATTTCATGAAGCCAATAAAACCCCTTGGAAATATCAGCCCAATACCTTGATTACAGGATGCTCAGCAGCCTTACCAGGTGAGTAAAGAAAGCCACTTTCTGGCAATGTAGAAACCTCAGGATATTTTAGGGATCTCAAGAAGAGAGGAATTCACCCAAATCTATAGGTACTACAGGTAAAGTCTGATGGCAAGTATTTAGCTTGGCATCTGGCCTCAAAAGGCTGTTAATTCAATTTGAGATTCCTTATGAAAAGTTCCAGCAAAACATATAGTCAAAAAAATATATATATATAGTTGATCAACCACTATTCTTGCTGCACTTCTGCAAATAATCAGGCCAAATTTGCAAACAAATTAGTGTTAATTTGGCTATCTTTGGTGAAAATGAGGATGATTATAGAGAAAAATTGTTTCAATAGCTCAACTTTGTGAATATTAGATTCTAATACTGTTCACTAAACTGGACAAGATGCTGAATTCTTCTAGTTTCTGCCAATATCTGGTTACAACTCTCCAACCTAACATTTCCAGTTTTCTCCCACCCTTCTGACTTTGAATCATTGAGCACTAAAACTGAAGCCTTGCAAACTGGAATACAGATAACTTGATATAAACTTTAGAAAAATCACAATAGCTCATGTATGGATAATCTTTGTGCCATTTGCTGTATGGCCATTCAGAAAGATCATCAGAGACATTCAAACTGCAAACCAGAAACTTCTATCAGATTGTGACTGCCTGTCCTCACTCCATCTGAAGATGCTTCGAACCTGACATCAAAAAATCTCAACTGGCTGTCTTCAGAATTTGGAAACTGGGATTATAATCTGCTCCAATCATTAATCTTTTTTTTCTTTTTTTGTTTCCATAGAAATGTCTCTTAATACAACATATAGGTCTAATTTTGGAAGCCCACCAAAGTGCATCACCACCTCCTGAAATGAAACATAACCTCTAATTGAAGTGACCTGTTCCCCAGGCTAAGAGACTCATGTGATGAGCTATGGAACAATCTAACCACTCAAAACAAGATCAAACCTATTTATACCAGATGGCCCAAGATGTTAAAATATAATCCCAGGTCCCCTGAGATCAGATTAGTTCCATGGCTGGACATTTCAAGTTTAGGACACTGGCATTAGACTGGATTTCATTTCAGATATTGCCTGTATAATTGTTTTGAGATTTGCTACTATATTTACATGTGTACTTTCTGGGTAACAATGTGTCTTACCCCTGATTTTAGCATAGCAACTACCTAGGCAGTTATGTCCTCACCATTGATGCTGATGCCTCGGCATCACAGGGTGGATGGTAATATAAGCCCTCACAGTTTTGGTTTGGTTTGGTTTGGTTTAAATCAGGCATAAAACACCTGATTTAAGCTTTGATCACCGAGGTATCCATTTCAAAGAGACATCTACTTCAAATACAGCTGTCAAATGAACACATTGTCAGATAGATAAACAGCTAGGCCACCTTCCCGCATTGAGGCTCCCCTGTTTTAGAGCCCTTCCTTGGTTGACTTGACCATTTGGGCCACTTGTCCTTTTACTTCCCCACGCTTTCAATTCCTGATCTTCTGTTTTAAATTCACCAATAAGGAGTGAGCCCACAAAACATCAGGTCCCCACTGTCAACTCCAATAAAAGCAGAATCCCAGGTCTGTGTGCTCTCTTTCCCTATCTGTGACCTTGCTGTGTGGCCCCAGGTATGCTGTGTAATTTCCAGGTCTTGTAAATAATAAATCTTAATTTTTTCAAAGTTTGCTGATGGTTGCTGCTGAAGAGCATCTTGCTGTCACAGTAAGAACCACAAGGGCTGGGCCAGCCACAATATAGGTTATTGATAGGCTGAGACTGGCACAATACACCATGATACTCCATGTCTGTCTTCCGTGGTCCACCCCGGCCTGGCTCTGCCAGGAGTGGCAGCAGGCTGAGGTTTCCTCACAAGGTTCCTGGGCTGTCACTTGGCAGGGAGGCCTCCCCCAGCTCAGGCCTTGCCTGGAGAGTATGGCCTCATGGAAAGCAGGGGCTCCCTTATGACTCCTACCCATACAAGCACTCCCACACATGACTTGTCCCCCAAGCCTGGGACTTACAGCTTCATCTTCCTGCCCTCTTCAGACAGGGACGAGCCCCCACCTGGCTCTTGCCACTGGCCTTCCTTTTCCTTTCATTTCCCTGGTGTCCGGTCCTCCCTTCACCCGCCCGCCCTCAGGGAGGTGCCTCACGGCAGACCGCCCCTAAGGCCTGGTTTCCTCAGGAAAAGCCTTGGGAGGAAGCAGAGAGGGGGTTGTGAGCTGTGGGGGCCAGACTAAACCAAGCCCTCTGGCTGTACTGGCCGCCATGGAGCTAGGGCTGCTGCTTCCCCTGCTGCTGCTTGGGACTCGGGAGACCCAGGGGTCTGAGCTGGACCCCAATGGGCAGCATGTCTGCAGGGCAAGCAGGTGGGTCTTGTGGAAGGTTGATGGTGGGGTGGGCAGGCAGTGGCTGAACTGGCATTGAGGCATGGGGAGGGAAGGAGGACACAAGGGAAGAGGTCATGGGCAAAGGGAGGGAGCTCCGGGACAAAGGGCAGCCACCAGGAATGGGTAGTCAGGTGGTGGATGTCAGGGCAGATGGTGGCAAGGCTGGGGAAGGAGAGGGAAAGGACTGGGGACAGGGGGGCTGTGATTCTTGGCTGGGCCTGTCTGATGGGGCTGAGGCAGCTTCCCCACATCTCAGCCAGAGACAGTGATCCACCTGCGGAGCCAGGCTGCCCCCGGCTGACCCCTCTCTGCCCCACAGCCTCTCTGCTGAGCTCCAGTGCTGTCCAGGCTGGAAGCAGAAAGATCAACAATGCACTATCCGTGAGTAGCCAGGGTGGACCCCTACCAGAGGAGAGGGAGGCCATAGCCTGGTGACCCTCGCTCGCCTCCTGGGGCTTCTTCTCCTTCTGAGTGCTAGAGCTAGGGTCTGTCCTGTGACACCCCCCCCCACCCCCGAGGGAAAGGCTTTTGAGGGGCAGGGCACCCAGAGCCAGTGAGAGGGCAGCGTGTCCCCCGGTCATGCCCCAGCCCTTTCGACCTGGGTGGGGTGTCTTTCAGCCATCTGTGAGGGGCTTGATGCCTGCCGGGAAGACGAGGTATGCGTGAAACCAGGCCTCTGTCGATGTAAACCCGGATTCTTCGGGGCCCAGTGCAATTCACGTAAGTCCGGAATTTCCCCTGGAGGATGAAGTGGCTGGGCAGAACAGTGGGAGTGGGGAGGCCCCACAGGTAGGAATGTGATCTTAGAATAGCAGGGCCAGAATCGTTCTAAGCTTCACTGAGGAAATTGAGGTCCGGAGTTAGGAAGTGACGCGCCCTTGGGAGATACCCTGAGTCATTTGCCTTTTGCCCAAAGCCTTACCCAGTTTCGGTTCTGGGCCCCTCACCTTCCTTCCCAACCTCTCAAAAAAGATGCTGGTGATCCCTGTTGGTTGCAAAATGGATACATCTCAGTCTTTCCACTCACACAACCACACACCCCCAGTTTATATGTGTGTGGAGGGAAGGAGGAGGCCCCTGGCTGGGCTGTCTGCCGTCTCTGGCAGACAGAGGGGCATGGAAGGGTGTTGGTGGGCAGGATAGCCAGAGGGCCGCTACCAGGAATTAGGGTTGCCAGGAGACAATAGGGGGAAATGTGGTTTCTCCTGAGACCCTGACAGTCAGGAACCAGGCCAGGATAGACAGCTTACTTTCAGCCCAGTGGGGGGGCCCAATGAGAGGGAGGAAGGGGCATGAAGGAAGTGCCCCCCCCCCTTCTGTGTGACTCTGGGAGGACCCTTTCCCATTCAGGACCTTCAAGTGTGTTCCGGAATATGAAGTGGGAGGCTGGCTGGGCCACTGCTAAGGGCTTTTGTAGTTCAGAGCCTGAGGCAGGAAGTGAACTGGGCCCCAGGAGAATAAGCTACCAGATGTTCTGAGGGTCTGTCCAGGCTCTTGGGAGAGCAGGCCTGTCCTTGTTGAAGCGGGAGCCGGGCAGGGATCTGTGCCTGGCCCTGAGTCCGATGATTGCCTTCCATCACCCTCCCGTCGCCGTCCCCCCGACCCCCACAGGCTGCCCAGACCAGTACTGGGGCCCGGACTGCCGCGAGATCTGCACCTGTCACCCACACGGCCAGTGCGAGTCGGCCACCGGAGTGTGCCACTGTCTAGCCGACCGCTGGGGCGGCCGCTGCGAGTTCTCGTGCATCTGCGGCCCGCACGGGCGCTGCGACCCCGCGTCAGGCGCGTGCCGCTGCGAGCCCGGCTGGTGGTCGACCACGTGCCACCGCCCCTGCCAGTGCAACCGGGCGGCGGCGCGCTGCGATCAGGCCACCGGCTCCTGCCTATGCGAACCCGGCTGGTGGGGACGCCGCTGCAGTTTCCGCTGCGGCTGCCACGGCTCTCCGTGCGCCCAGGACTCGGGCCGCTGCACCTGCCGGCCCGGCTGGTGGGGTCCCGAGTGCCGGCAGCAGTGTGAGTGCGTGCGCGGCCGCTGCAGCTCCACCTCCGGCCAGTGCGTCTGCCCGCCGGGCTTCCGCGGCGCGCGCTGCGAGATGCCCTGCTCCGCTGGCAGCTACGGGGCGCAGTGCCGCCACAGGTGAGTCGGGGCGCGGAGAGAGGGCGGGAAGCTGGAGAGAGCAGGGGCAGAGGAGGGGGTGTCAAGGAGGGCATGGGAACAGCGAGCGAAGGGATGAGGCGGGGAGAAGAGGGGCGCCGGAGGAAGGTTGCGCGGTGCTCTTCGCAAACATAACCAAGGACCTAATGAAAAGGGGGGAAAAGACCCTCGACACCCCTATGGCCTTCCTCGCCCACCCTTTCCATCCAATTACAGTTAAACCCAAAATAGTAGTATTAGCAATCCATGCTTAGAAACAGAGGAAGAATGAATCACGCGACAAAGCGATTGCAGGGTCCCATTAAGAATCAGTGGCTTTCAGATTTGACCGGCTCTACCCACAATGGGAAATCCGTTTTACATCCACCCAACACACACCAATGTATATACATACATATGTACGTAACTGAAGTAAAAGCTTAACCAGGTAATACTTATCTTTACTACATATATAACATATACTATGTATATATGTAGGTAACTGTCTATATATAACTGCATATGTATGTATATAACTATGTATATAATATACATTATGTGTATATGTATATAACTGAAGTAAAAGCTTAACCAGAAAACTGCATACTTATCTTTACTACTTATATAATATATAATACACTCTGTATATGTGTGTGTATATATATATATATGTGTATATGTATATATATATATACTATAGTGTTTTCTAATCTTTTTCTCATGTATTTATTTATTTATGATGCTGGTCAGGATATGCTATATTGATCTTATGATTTCCCCTGCTCCCCTCATTAATAGGTCTGATCCAAGCATATGATCCCAGATAATTAAGGATCTGGAGGCAGAAACTTCAAGTTACTGTTAAGGATCAAGGAAAAGTTAAAATAAAATAAAACCTTATTGGAAAAGTTGCTAAGAGTTCTTGTCAACAAGAAAAAACACTTTTTTTGTACGAGTGTGAGATGATGGGTGCCAACTTCCTGTGGTCATCATTTCACAAAATATACAAGTCAAGTGATTTTGTGGTACACCTTAAACTCATACAGTGCCAATTACATCTCAATAAAACAGAAAGTAATTTTCAAAAGCATTAGATAAACTTGAAATTATAGTGGTGAAAACAGCTATTTTATGTTTGTATTTTAATGCATTTTTGTGTTATAACAGAGAAGATAAACTACTGAGTCCCACTCACGCCCGGGGAAAGGGAGAGGAGGGGCACGCTGGGCGGAAAGGAGGCAGAGTTTGTGGTGGTCAGTTGTCAGCTCTGGCTGAGCTGGGAGCTCCTGGTGACCCTGGAACGAGGGAAGGAGAGAGCCAGAACTCTGCCAGAGCCCACAGAGATAATTTGTCCAGCCTTTTTGTTGAACAACATAGAGAAACTGAGGCTCAAACCTGCCTGAGTGACCCAGCTGGGACCTGGATGCTCTCAGAGCCCCTAGTGGCCTGGGTGGGCACTCCATCCACACGTCCCCCAGTACTCTGCAGGAATGCCTTCTCTTCCCAGCTGTGGCCACTGCAAGCAGAATGAGCCCTGCTCTCCAGATACAGGCAGCTGTGAGTCCTGCGAGCCAGGCTGGAACGGGACCCAGTGCCGCCAGCCTTGCCCACCTGGCACCTTCGGCGAGAGCTGCAGGCAGCAGTGTCCCCACTGCTGGCTTGGGGGAGCCTGTCAGCCAGACACTGGGCACTGTCAGCGCTGTGACCCTGGCTGGCTGGGGCCCAGGTGAGGGGCAGGCCTGCTCAGGGTGGAGTGCAGCTCCCTTTAGGGTACTCACCTCAGCAGGAGCCACACCCTCCCCCAACACACACATTCACGCAGCCCTCTGGGCCTGCCTCCTGGAGGAAACTGAGGGGAGATATGGGTTCTGATGTGGCCCTGGGCCAGGTTCCTGTCCAGCTCCTCCACCAGGCATCCTGCTCTCCTTCCTCCAGAGCCCTGTAGTCTTTGACCCCAGGTTCAAGGCCTTGTTTGCATCTGAGCTTCACTGCTGAGAAGTAGAGAGTTGGGGCGCTGAGTCCAGAAGCATGGGGGAAAGATGGGTAAGGCCCCCTGAGGGCCTGCTCTGCCCCCCATTTGAGTCTTGCCTCGCCTCAGGTGTGAAGACCCCTGCCCAACTGGCACCTTCGGGGAGGGCTGTGGCTCTACCTGCCCCACCTGTGTTCAGGGGACCTGTGATGCTGTGACTGGGGAATGTGTCTGCAACACTGGCTACTGGGGGCCCAGGTGAGGACCGGGGCCCTGGCAGGGAGGCAGGGGCCTAGGTCAGGCCTCTGCACAATCTGTTTCCTGAACTTCCCTTCCTGGCCTTCTCCACCTCCCAGTTACCCACCCAGCATCCTCATAACCAAGAAGTTACTCTTCGTGTTGTGGGGTCTGCATCTTCCAAAGGAGGGTCAGAGTCATGTCTAATCTAAAAGGCCCAACTCCCTAACTAGATGGAGAAGTTATTTAGGCCTCCAAACCCCATGGTTGTTCCCAAGGTCGTCATCATTATCGATGTCTCCAGTGTCAGGTTTTCCACCTATAGGAGAGAATGTACTCTCAAATGGAAGAGATCTCATTTTAGAGAACTCTGAAGCCTGGAGAGATAGGAGCAGTGTTGGGCTGGGCTCAGACCTCTAGAAACTGCTGGAGGATGTTTCTCTGGGCGCCATTGGCATCTGGCTTGTTTTGCATTAGTGCTGGGTGGGCAAGGGATGAGGATCATGGGAGGTGAACCCTGCCCAAGAGTTACACCCTGAGGGCCTGGGGGTGATCTCCCTGGAAGATGAGCTTAGGTGTTGATGGATTCTCCCAAACACTGCCAGGCAGGGGTATTAGAATGTGGCTCAGAGGCCAGAGGAATCTGCCTGGGGATCATCCAGGGAAGTCTGCGTGGCTGGGGGTGGGGAGCAGTGCCCAGAAATCTACCTTCCCCTGTCCCCTGCCCACCTCCAACCCTCTTCACCCAGGCTTCAGCCTGTTTTTCTTGTCATGCCCACAGCTGCAACTCTTCTTGCCCATCTGGCTTCCATGGAAATAACTGCTCTGTTCTTTGTGAATGCCCAGAGGGACCCTGCCACCCTGTCTCTGGGGCCTGCCAGCTGGGTAAGGTGGAAAGGAGGGTGCAGAGGACAGTAACCAGGGAAAGACTAGCCCTTTATATGGACTCCAGGGGGTTATCACTTGACAGGGAGGCTGAGCCCACTTCAGAGACATTCCCTATGCCTGAAATCTGTGTAGATCAGGCAACTTTGGGGCCCCCTGAAGATGTGACTGAGTCCTTGCCCCCTGAGAAACCAGGCTAGCACCCAGGAAAATGACTAGGCAGGGCTGGACACTGGGATGTGAATCAGGCATGAGAATTGGGGCCAAGGGCTTGGGCAACAGGCCATGAACTGTCAAGAGGGGACAAACCAGCAGGGAAGCTGCCTGGAGGAGGTGGCCTCCAGGCTGAGCAGTCTACATCTCTCAGAAGATGAGGAGGGACTCACAGGAGGAAGATTCTGGGGAGAGGGGAACCCAGAGCTGGAGATGAGACATAACGAATGAGAGACAGGAAGGCCCTGAATTTCTGACCATCTGTGCACCCCCAGGGCCTCACAGTCAGGATGCTGCCCTCATCGCCGGCATTCTTGTGCCTTTGCTGGTGCTCCTCCTGGGCATTGCCTGCTGTGTATGCTGCTGCCAGGCCACCCGGCTAGATCCCAAGGACAGGTGAACGCTGGCCTATCCCTTCCCACCCCATAGCACTGGCCATGGTGGGAGCAAGGTGGCATCTGGTTGCCTTTCCGGGGTCGGGAAGGGGCTGGCCTTGTCACACACTTAGGTCAGAGGTAATGAGGTAGCTGGCAGAGGCCATGGTCTGAAGACACCAGAGCAGCTGCCTGCCTTCTTTGGAATCCTTCAGTGGAAGAGCTTCTGAGTCACGTGAGCACGAACGGCAGGAGGCTGAGGGTGCCTTAAAGATGACCAGATCAGAGGAGGAGGGCAGGAAGGCAGAAGCCCCGGGGCAGCTCTGGGCAGGCAGGGGAAGAGATCAGGCCTCATCCTCTAAAGAAAGGAGGGTGACATACAAGTCTGAGCAGTGGGTTATCAGAGAATGTGACTTTCTGAGAAAAGCAGAGAAAGGGCAGGATTTGGCCTTGCAGGGCCTGTGGCCAGGGAATGTAGCTCACACAGAGCTTTGTTCCTTTACTAAATCTCTTAACACTTCTTGGCTTCTTGAAGACTCCCAGCAGCACGGAGGTTTGCAGCAAGGGATGTGGGAGCAGGAGGATTTATATTCTCAATTCAGAGAAGGACACTGTGGCCCAAGGTGATCCAGTCAGTGCACAAAGCCCATGCCCTGTTTTCTGGCCTCTTTGTCCAGTGGTCTTATCAGTTCACATCCTAACGCTTGAGCACATCCTCCTCTGTGCTGTGGGGTATTCACAGATGAGCAGACCCAGCAGCCTGTCCCCTGAGGCACAGAGCCTGGGGTGGGGAAGCAGACCCCCACATGAGGACCAGGACATGTGCAAAGGCTGTCGGGAATAGTAATGAGGAAAGCAGTCACTTCCAGCTTGGGGAAGGGGACAAAGGCAGGCTTCCTGGAGGTGGTGCCACTTCCACGAGGTGAGCTGGGACTCAGCTAGGATGATAAGAACACATAGCTGCATTTTGGGGTACCCCACCAAGTGCCTGCCATTATGCTGGGTCTTGGAAAAAGCTCTGATGGATAGGAGTTGTTGACCCCATTATACAGTGGAGGAAACTGAGGCTCAGAGAGGTGAAGTCTGAGCCAGAGTTGCTACCCAGGTCTATCTGACTCTAGAACCATGCTGCTGTCTGTGGCAGGCCCAAATCTCAGGCTTAATAGTTTGGATTTTGCTCTATAGCCATAGGGAGCCACTAAAGTAGATCATCTCTCTGTCACCCTGCCTCCCTCACAGTAACCCTGGGACCAGGATGGTCCTGACCTTTTCTCCTGCCCCCACACTTCCCCCACCAGGGGCTTTGGGCACTGACCACCCTATGCTCTCAGGCCAGCAAGAGATGGAGCTGCTGTGTCCAGGATGAAGCTGCAGGTCTGGGGGGCAGTGACCAGCCTGGGCTCTGTGCTGCCCTGTGGTTCCCTCAGCAGCCACAAGCTTCCCTGGGTGACAGGTAAGCAGGCGCTGAGAGTGAGGGGCTGGGAGGAAAAGAGGCTTCCTGTAGAGTTCTGTGCTTGACCTGGTGCCCCCTGCAGTCTCACACCACGACCCGGAGATCCCCTTCAACCACAGCTTCATTGAGCCACCCTCTGCGGGCTGGGCCACAGATGACTCCTTCTCTTCTGATCCTGAGTCTGGAGAGGAGTACGAGGGTCCTGCCTACTGCGTGCCACCCCAAGAAGGTAGCCCCCAAACAGCACCCCCAGCCCCTGAGCAGCCCTGCCCACCATAACCTCATCTTTATTTCTTCAGCCAAGGTGTATCAAGCCCCTATTCTGTGCCAGCCACTGCTCCTGGCTATGGGACACAGTATACTACATGATAGATGCCTGCCCTCATCAAGCTTATAGTCTGGTAGGCAGTCATCAGACATTTAGGGGACAGAGTGATACATGCTCTGATGGGGCTCATAATCCAGGTATGTCAAGGGTGGCTGTGGTCAGGAAGATTCTCAGTGTTAGTGGCACTGGAGTTGAGTCTAGCAGAATCAGTAGGAGTTAGCAGAGTGAAAGTTAGGGTCAGGAAGAGGGAACAGTGTACACAAAGGCCCAGAGGTGAGAGGGAATGGCCATGTGGCATTGAAAGAGGTTTAGCTTGGTCAGAGTGTGGCATTTAGTTCCAAGCAGAGAGGGGTGGAGAACTAGAAGTAACAGTGTTCATCTGAATGCCCTTCCCCTGCATCCTCACCTCTTCCTTGACCCCATTTTTGAGGACTCCCAAAAGATGCTGAGCTGGGTGAGAAGATGGTTTGGGGTGGACAGCTCAAGCTCTTCTGTCTCCTCTGCCAGGGATGGTCCCTGTGGCCCAAGCAGAGTTGCCAGAGGCCAGCCTGGTTGGAGGTCCCTTCCCTCCCCCTGAGGATACCTCCACACCGTTCCCCATCCCACGTACTTCCAGTTTAGCACGGAACAAGCGACCATCGGTCTCCTTTGCTGAAGGCACCAAGTTTGCACCGCAGATCCACCGAAGCTCAGGGGAGCTCTCCAGCCCACTCCGAAAGCCCAAGAGGCTGTCTCGGGGCACCCAACCAGATCCTGAGAGCCAAGAGACCGAAGAGTCCACAGGCCGAGAGCAAGGAGATGCGGACAAGGCCTCTCCTGGTGCTGCCAGCCCCAGGGATTCTGCCATTGGCCGCCGCTGGCTCCCGCTTGGTGGCCGGACAGTGGCTGAGCGTGTGGAAGCCATCGAGGGCAATGTCCGGGAGAGCTCAGGCTCCATGAGCACGATCTACATGCTGGCAGGGTCACCCCGGGGATCTGAGGGCCCTGTCCGGTCTGTTCTCCGCCGTTTTGGTAGCTTCCACAAAGGCCAGGCAGAGCGCAAGGTCAAGAGTGCCATCCCCAAGCCTCCACGCCGGGCCTTGAGTCGGAACAAGGGCAGTCCTGGGCTGGCCTCTGGCTCTGCTAATCAGAGCCCCAGCTCAGTCCCGAATGAGGAGCTCACTGGGGCCTTGGAATCTGTAGGAACCAGGCCAGAGGAAGTGGCCAGGGGGTTGGAGGATGGCATCAAGAACTCGGGGAGGGCCCAGGAATCGGCACCTGAGGGTGTCCCACCAGAACAGGATCCCCAGAAGCTGGCTGACAAGGAAGGGCAGGAGGAGCCCCAGTATGAGAATGTTGCCCCTATCTCTGGGTCACCAGCACCCTGAGGACCTTGAATTTGGAGAGTAGAAAGACTATGAATGGGGATAGGCATCTGAAATGCCCCTGGATCAGATTGTGTTTTGTGCTGGAAATGGATGGTCCTGACCTTTTCTCCTGCCCCCACACTTCCCCCACCAGGGGCTTTGGGCACTGACCACCCTATGCTCTCAGGCCAGCAAGAGATGGAGCTGCTGTGTCCAGGATGAAGCTGCAGGTCTGGGGGGCAGTGACCAGCCTGGGCTCTGTGCTGCCCTGTGGTTCCCTCAGCAGCCACAAGCTTCCCTGGGTGACAGGTAAGCAGGCGCTGAGAGTGAGGGGCTGGGAGGAAAAGAGGCTTCCTGTAGAGTTCTGTGCTTGACCTGGTGCCCCCTGCAGTCTCACACCACGACCCGGAGATCCCCTTCAACCACAGCTTCATTGAGCCACCCTCTGCGGGCTGGGCCACAGATGACTCCTTCTCTTCTGATCCTGAGTCTGGAGAGGAGTACGAGGGTCCTGCCTACTGCGTGCCACCCCAAGAAGGTAGCCCCCAAACAGCACCCCCAGCCCCTGAGCAGCCCTGCCCACCATAACCTCATCTTTATTTCTTCAGCCAAGGTGTATCAAGCCCCTATTCTGTGCCAGCCACTGCTCCTGGCTATGGGACACAGTATACTACATGATAGATGCCTGCCCTCATCAAGCTTATAGTCTGGTAGGCAGTCATCAGACATTTAGGGGACAGAGTGATACATGCTCTGATGGGGCTCATAATCCAGGTATGTCAAGGGTGGCTGTGGTCAGGAAGATTCTCAGTGTTAGTGGCACTGGAGTTGAGTCTAGCAGAATCAGTAGGAGTTAGCAGAGTGAAAGTTAGGGTCAGGAAGAGGGAACAGTGTACACAAAGGCCCAGAGGTGAGAGGGAATGGCCATGTGGCATTGAAAGAGGTTTAGCTTGGTCAGAGTGTGGCATTTAGTTCCAAGCAGAGAGGGGTGGAGAACTAGAAGTAACAGTGTTCATCTGAATGCCCTTCCCCTGCATCCTCACCTCTTCCTTGACCCCATTTTTGAGGACTCCCAAAAGATGCTGAGCTGGGTGAGAAGATGGTTTGGGGTGGACAGCTCAAGCTCTTCTGTCTCCTCTGCCAGGGATGGTCCCTGTGGCCCAAGCAGAGTTGCCAGAGGCCAGCCTGGTTGGAGGTCCCTTCCCTCCCCCTGAGGATACCTCCACACCGTTCCCCATCCCACGTACTTCCAGTTTAGCACGGAACAAGCGACCATCGGTCTCCTTTGCTGAAGGCACCAAGTTTGCACCGCAGATCCACCGAAGCTCAGGGGAGCTCTCCAGCCCACTCCGAAAGCCCAAGAGGCTGTCTCGGGGCACCCAACCAGATCCTGAGAGCCAAGAGACCGAAGAGTCCACAGGCCGAGAGCAAGGAGATGCGGACAAGGCCTCTCCTGGTGCTGCCAGCCCCAGGGATTCTGCCATTGGCCGCCGCTGGCTCCCGCTTGGTGGCCGGACAGTGGCTGAGCGTGTGGAAGCCATCGAGGGCAATGTCCGGGAGAGCTCAGGCTCCATGAGCACGATCTACATGCTGGCAGGGTCACCCCGGGGATCTGAGGGCCCTGTCCGGTCTGTTCTCCGCCGTTTTGGTAGCTTCCACAAAGGCCAGGCAGAGCGCAAGGTCAAGAGTGCCATCCCCAAGCCTCCACGCCGGGCCTTGAGTCGGAACAAGGGCAGTCCTGGGCTGGCCTCTGGCTCTGCTAATCAGAGCCCCAGCTCAGTCCCGAATGAGGAGCTCACTGGGGCCTTGGAATCTGTAGGAACCAGGCCAGAGGAAGTGGCCAGGGGGTTGGAGGATGGCATCAAGAACTCGGGGAGGGCCCAGGAATCGGCACCTGAGGGTGTCCCACCAGAACAGGATCCCCAGAAGCTGGCTGACAAGGAAGGGCAGGAGGAGCCCCAGTATGAGAATGTTGCCCCTATCTCTGGGTCACCAGCACCCTGAGGACCTTGAATTTGGAGAGTAGAAAGACTATGAATGGGGATAGGCATCTGAAATGCCCCTGGATCAGATTGTGTTTTGTGCTGGAAAAAGATCCCAGGGCCAGGAAAGACATATCAGAGCCTCTGTCCTTCCATGTGGAAACATCAGAGTCTGGGGCCAGCTGGCCCTGGTGATGCTGTGGAAGGCCTGGGCAGAGACCCCACAGGATGGGGTCAGGAAGGGGAAAGAGATGGCTGCAGGGACATTTTCTCTGTTGTCCTGGACTCTGTTTTCCCCCAAAAGCTATTCTTTCCTTCATTTGCAAAACATTTTTCTGAAATGGGAAACAAATGTTTGATGGCAAAAGATTGGTTAAAGAAATATTTCTTATAGTAGGTTCCTAAACAACCACAAAAGTCATGTTGTGCAAAAATATTTAATATGGAAGATACGGGAGGATGTTCATGCTATACTGTTAAGTATAAAAAGTAAGTTTTCTTTTTAGAAATTTGTTTTTTCCTCAGGATACATCTTTAGGATTCTTCCATTTTGTGTATATTTCATGATGTTTTATGGATTTTTAAAAAAGTACGTGCATAAAAAAGATTCGAGGGAAAGGCATTCAATGGCATTTTTCTCTGGGAGATGAGATTTTGGCTGATATTTATTTTTTTCTTAAACTTCTGTTGAATTTGCAAATTTGCCACAGTGAACATCCTTTTTTACTTTTTTCACTAGACTGAATTTAAAAAAATCATTAAAAAGCTATGTTCTTTATTAAAAGTAAAAAGTACTAACATTACAGACATGTATAAAGTAAAAAAGAGATCTCCCTTCTCCCCAGAGCAGCTGGGGGACAAAAAGGGGGCCAAACTTACTTCCCACTGAGTGCTTTTTGGTCTTGTTCTGAATTCTTTCCTCACGTACTTGTATTCCCTAGTGAGGAAATAAAGAGTGCTTCCCCTTCTATCCCAGTGCTCAGAGAATCTCATGAACAATTTAGAGGCTTGCTTTCTGTGCACATGAGAACAAACAAAAAATACTGTTCTACATGCTGGATATCTTTCATGTCAGCAAATGTAAAGCTACCTCTTTTTATAAAAAATGGCTATATGGGATTCCATCACATGGAAATATTACAGGTTATTTAAACCATCCCTAGCTTACAGGGATTTGGGTTGTTCCTAATTGTTTTGATGCAATAAATGATGCAGTGTACAACTTTGTCCATATCTCTTTTTGTGCTTGTGTTAAGTTTTTCTGTAGAAGAGATTCCCAGAAGTAGAATTACTGGGTTTTGGGGAAAGAACATTAAACATTTCTGCACTTACTCCAATTGCCCTTTCTCATAAATCGTGGTGGTATATTTATTTGCCCACATCCAATCTGATTAGGTTAAAAATGGAATCATTATTTTAGCACAACAAAAATAAATAACATAGTAAATCTTTAAAGGTTAAAATCTTTGTACAAGTGTTTTTTATTTTTTAACTATCTAAAATGGTACATTAAAATTTCAGTCTCACTCAGGTTGAGCTTCTCATATCTTTAATAGTTATTTATATTTTTCCTTTAGATTATCTGGTTATATTTTTTCCCCAATGCTTGATTGAGGCATTCATCTTTTTCTCAGTAATTTATAAGTGTATTTACATATATCAAGGATATTAATTCTTTGCCCATCTTTTTTTCCTCTATGGAAATTTAAAATTTTAATTTAGATGGTCTTTTTCTTTTTGACCTCTGGGTTTCATGTCATGCTTACTGGAAAGGTCTTCTCTACCCTAAAATCATGAAATAATCTTTTACATTTTCTTCTCGTATCGTAGTGGCTTATGATTTGCCAGGAGTGCTGCTATTGGGGCTTTAACATTTCAGACAAAAAGACAGAAAAAAAATTCATACAAATACACCTGGATTCGTATCTCAGTTCTAACATATTTGTTTTGTGACTTCAGAAATATTACTTAAAGACTCAGTTTTTTTCATCTGAGAAATGGGGATAATGGCCATCTCTCAGGGTTGTTGTGGGGATTAAATGACAAAGTATGGAAAGCATCTAATAAATTTTTAGCTCTCAATGAAGAGTAATTATTATTGGAATTACCATCATTCTCCCAGCTTTGACTCCATTGTCCCTAGCAACTGTCTTTCACCCCTTTGCATTTGTTCATGTTTTTCATTCAACAGGCTCGTATTGTGTGTCTTGTGCTTACTTCTGTATTAAAGGATGCTCTGTATGATATCTTATACAAAGATGAATAAGATACCATTTGTATCCCCAAAGAGTTCATAATCAATGGGAAAAGGGAGAGACAAACAGATGGACAGATAATTATAAAACACTGCCATCAGTGGACAAAGATAGTGGAGAGCATTATGGAGAGTAGTTAGGGAAGGCTTCTTGGAGGAGGTGCTGTCTAGGAAGGGACTATGAGGGTCAGAGATGAGAGAACAGCATGTGCAAGGACCACAAGCAATTCTATGTGACTGGCATCTAGGACCAGGTAGGTCAACCAGCCTCCAGAGGGAGGAAGAGACTGGTGGGAAGGAGCCTGTGTGGACAAGGTTGGAGAACTTGAACTTTATTCTGCAGGACAAATGATAGTTTCTAGAGGATTTTAGCAGAGGTCACATTTACATTTCCCATGGCTCACTGGGATGCGGTAGGGTGGAGAAATGGATTTGAGGGCTGATTGGATGATTAGCATTTGCAGTCCTAGGATCACAGATGGACAAATTAGACAAACATTTAAGGAGATACGGATTTATTGGTGGGGTGGGGTGACACAAGGGAGAATAACAGCAGGTAGCAGATAAATATTTGTTGGAAAGATAGTTCATGGTATCTAACTTCAGTAGGCAATGGTGCTATTATCTGAGGAAGAACGGGAGAACAGTTTTGGGGAGAAAGTGAATTTAGAGAAAGCAGTTTAGGATGTGTATGAGAACAGCCCTAAACTCCTACCTGCAGATGACCCTCAGGCAGGGGGCCTTAGGAAGAGGAAGGGAAGGACTGAAGTTTGTCAAGTGTCAGTTGCAACCCTGTGAGTGGGAGAGTCTCTGGAGGGTGGGTAAACGGATAGGTAGCCAGCCAGGATACCCCAAGCCAACATCGCCAGGCAACGTCTGCGCGAGGCAGCCAGCGGCGGGTTCACAGCGGCAGGGGGCGCACTCGGACCCAGGGACGGGCAGCAGGAGGCTGCTGGGGCTCCCACAGGCCTGGGATAAGCCGGCTGCCAGAGCGGGACAGGAGACCAAGTTGAATCTGGGGGAGACCGAGGGTCCTCCGAGGTCAGGCTAGTGCCTCCAATCGGGGAGGCGCAGCTGAACCTCCACATCCCGGGCCCCATTCCCCTGCCCTGGCAGTTCCTCGGGACAGGTCCAGCTTGCTGACCAACTGGGAGTCCGGGACCCTCCCGACCCCACGCCCTCTCCTGGAGACTTGACTCGTGCTCTCAGCTGCCCTCCGAGTCACCCTGCAGAAAGAACCCCTAACTAAACAAGTCCGGAAAACGCAGCGTAAGGGGGTGGAGGTGGCACAGGACAGTATGTATGGGGTCAACTCGGGCAGGAAACCCAGGACGACCGGTCTAGGTGGGGGTCCCCGAGGGGACCAAGGAAGCAGGAATGGGGTTAGAGGTCAGAGTCTGGATGGGGCACCAGACACTGTCCTAGGGGACAGACAAACCCTAAACTCCTACCTGGTGATCCCCAAGGGACCCTTTCCAATAACTGGGCAGAGGGCATCCAGGGGAGGGGTCGGTGCATCAGGAGAGCAGGGCAGGAACACACCACGCTCGGACAAGTGTTCCGGGATCCGGGATGTGCAGACAGTGCCTGGATGGGAGACACTGGGGGCAGGAAAGCGAGGAATGAGAGCACAAAACTCGAGCCAGCCAGGATGGCAGCGTTGTGTGGGAAGGCAATGGAGGTGGGGGTTGCCAAACCACGCGTAGCCAGAGCATCGGGGGTATGGTGCCCAGGGCAGAGGGACAGCTGAGAACTAAGTAGAAGGCCGGAGAGCTGAGTGCGGGAGCCAAGCTGGGTTCGCGGAAGGGAACCGCGTGCAGCTGGGGAAGTTCGGCAGACTCCTGAACGCAGAGCCGGGGACACAACCAGAGGCCGGGCTTCGGGGATGAAGCTCGGGAAAGGGGGCGGGGTAACACTCCCGGAGGTTCCTGGCCCGGGAGTGACTCGTTTGAGGTGGCGGAGCAGAAGTAGTGCCCGCCGCACCCCCGGGCCGCTCCCTCCCGCCCCCCACCATCCTCCAACAATCTTGTTTGTCTCTTAAGTCCGGCCGGAACCGGCTTCTGCTCGCAGCCGGGCGGGCGAGTGCTGCTGATTGGTCAATGCCTGTTTCCAGCCCCAACTCAGCCAATCAGCGCGCAGCAGTGTTTTCATCTTGGGGTCGGAATAAAAGGGCTGGAATAAAAGGAGGGAGAAAAGGCGCCGGCCGGGCCCGACACACACCAGCAGGAGCCGGGTGAGCTGGATCCCGGGGCCCGGGTGCTGGGGAGCAGAAGGCGCACGAGTAGGGGCTTAGGGAGAAGATGTGTGAATAGAGAGGAAAGAGACTGGATGGTTGAGGATCCGACGGGAAGAGATAACGAATAGAACAGGGAGCTAGAGGATGAAGGAACTGAGGTCCGCTTCCACAGAAGCAGGATAGTTGCTGAGGCAGCCGCCCGGAATAGGGGTCGCGCGGGTGGCTCGCGCCACCGGTTTGAACCGGCTTCGCCTCTCCCATGCGGGGTTCGCGTGGCCGCAGCGCCTAGCGACCTAGATGAGGGCCAATGGCGCGGCAGTTACTCTGCCGTCTGGCCAATGAGCGGGCCGTGGGCGGGCCGTTCCGGAGCTCCGTGCGCTGATCTTGTGGTTGAAGGAGCCAGTTCTGGGGAAGGGTCCCGAGAGCGGGCGGGAGGCCGCCAGTCAGGGCCCCAAAGGGTGGCAGCTCTCAGGTATTTCCCTGCCCAGGTAGCCGGACCTCAGGCTACCTTCCGTGCCAACCCCCAAGCTATGTCAGTCCTGCTGGGAGCCTGGACTAATTCCACGTCCCTGAGCATGCGTTAGTGCCTTCCTGTTTCCATGCCTCAGGTTACCTCTGAGTGAGCTGAGGAAAAGGTCTCCCTGCCTGGCCAGGGCTGCCCTCCTGTTGCCGAGGGCAGACGTACGAGTGAGCAGCGGAGATAATGGCCCAGATCCCGGACAGAGCTGGGGCTTCCTTGGCTGCGCGCTTCTAGAACCCGGGCCGCGGAGGGGTGACAAGCTCCGCGCGCTGCGGCAGCGGCCCGGGTTGGCTGCACCACCAGGGCAGGGCCGAGTACTGACGCCGAGGTCTATGCGTAGGTGGCTGCAGAGCCGAGCCGGACCGCCGCGCCACGCCACGGCACACCATGGCGCCCACTCTGGCCACTGCCCATCGGCGCCGCTGGTGGATGGCCTGCACGGCCGTGTTGGAAAACCTCCTCTTCTCGGCAGTCCTCCTGGGCTGGGGCTCGCTGCTCATCATGCTCAAGTCAGAGGGCTTTTACTCCTACCTGTGTACTGAGCCAGGTGAGACGGTCGCCTCGGGTTTGGGGTGGTTCCTGGAGCGGGGCTTTGGGAGACGGCAGGATGGCCGCGAAGGCCTAGCCAGCAAAACTACCTCACTGTGCAGCACCTTCCAGTTAGCAAAAGATCCGTTTGATTTTTACCTAGCTCTGCTGGGTCCATACCGTTATCCCCGTTTTCTGGATGAAGAAACTGAGGTGCAGACAGATCTGACTTGCCTAAGGCAACACAACTGACAACTGTGATAGATCCAGACCCCCAAGCCCAGGGTGTTCTTTCCCCGACCTAAGAACATCGCTGGACTCCTTTCCTCCCAGTGCCTGGCACATCACACTGCCTTGCAGTAAACACTTTGCTCTCTGACTGTGAGAAAGAGGAACTCCTGACTCAGTGCCTGGGGTGCAGCAAGAGAAAGGAAGTGGTTTGGTCTCCACCCCATGGAAGGTTCATTTAAAATCTAGATGTTTTTTAGGTCATTATGGAGGCTCTTCAGGGCTTGTCGGATACAGTTTCTTGTCTCTTTTGCTGCTTTATAATTTTCCAAAGGATATTTTCTCCCACAGGCTGTGAGAACATCTCGGTGGCCTTCTACCTCCCCACCCCCCCAGCCATAGGAGGAAGGGGGAGAAAAGCAAGAGGGGGTCTTTATAGAAATGATGCTAGGT